GTGTTGTTTTTTTATGTAATAAATAATATGTCTCGAATAATACATTCGTTAATTATTACGCACGAATGACTGCGTCGATCATTGTTCTCAATTATATATCGTCAATATTATATATAATTAATATATGTATATATATATATATTTCTTATTATAAGGTAAGTTAATAAAAATGATAAATGTCTTAAATAAAAGTGGTTATAATTTTAAAAATTAAAAAAAACGAAGAATATAAAAAACCACAGCACAGGTTGTCGGTTGTGAAGATTAAAACTTTATTCAATAATGAATTATTTAAGCGTTTATCAATATCCATATCAAAAAATAAGCGATTAAACGTTTCGATTAAAACAAGTAACGCATCTACTCTTTATTTTTCGTGTATAAGAGATTAACGAGATTATAAATTTTATTTTTAGAATATCAAAATTTTTTTATAGTATTATTTATTATTTTTTAGTTTCCATCAATATTGTTTTGATGAATATCTTTCTAGAATTCCTAGATTGACACGCGCCGAGAGCTAATTGGTGAACGTGAGCGATGCGAGACAAAGCGTATATACATCAATCGCTCTGGCGGCTGCATTGTCTCGCATTAGTATTTCTCTCTAGCGGGTCTTTTTTTTGCCGCAAGGTCGAGTGAACCCAAGGGGACGACAATGTTGCATGCGCATGAATCTCTCGAAGTTGTTTCTTTTATGCAGTTGTGCGTACCGCCTCTCTCTAGAGGTCCGAAGGTCTTGTCCTGGGACTACGAAGACGTTTTCGCGCGAATTTAAGCACAGAGATACAAAAGAGATATGAAAAAACGCGGCGTTTTTGTTTGTATTAATTTTGCAAAACAGGAACAAATCGTACACGAAGTGGATGAGGATGAAGTACGATATCAACCTGAAGCCGAACATCCTTTATATAATCGACAGGTTCCAAATAGAAATTATGTATCAAAGAAGCAGTTATCATTTTCATTTGCAGCATAGCATATCGTTGGCCTATAATTTAATATTTGTTGCAATTTTTTTATATAAAAGAGTATAGTACTTGTAAAATTATAGCTTACCGATACAATTACGTGGTCCAGCACTGAATGGTATATATGAGTAAGGGTGACGATTTTGGCTCTTGTGCGGGAAAAATGTC